AGAGCTTTACTACGGATGACTGGTACCAATATCGGGGCAGCAGGGTGTCTTAGTCGTGGAAAGTTGCATATTCTTACGAATAAGTTCCCTGAAATTGCAATACCTAGGAATACCATGCATCCGAGGTTCAGCTTTACAAAGAGGTTTAAGACTGATCTGTAATAAGAAGAGCTAGGCAGGCATATCCGAGACATATCGGATAAACCAAAACGTGTAGGGGTAGTTGGACCGAGGTTCAGATACTCGGAACCCATGGGAAAACATATGTATATTTTCCAGGCTGAAACATACGCCACAGAAAAAGATACGCGGACTTTAATATCAAGCGAAACTACCGAAATGAGAACATCGCGATCTTGACTGACAGCCAAGCGGCTATCAAGGCCCTCAGATCTCACCAGGTAACATCTAAACTGCTGATGGAGTGCCTCAACAAGCTGAATACTCTTGGTCTGATCAATCAGGTTTGGCTTCTCTGGATTCCGGGATTGCCGATAAACAAGCGAAGAAAGGTGCATCAACCCCTTTCACCGGCCCAGAACCTAGAGGAAGAGTCTCAGAGGAATCGCTACTGGTATAATCTACCAGGTCTAGAGCAGTTCAAAGCACTTTTAGGAACATATAATCTAAAACGCTTCAAGGAATGTATGAGCTTATCAAAGAATAACTGAAGAATTGTTACAGGAATCTTGACAGGACACTGCAGGCTGAACTATCCCTTGCCTAAACTGGGAATTTACTCGCATGAGCGATGCAGATTTTGCAGGATGGAAAACAAGATTGCACAGCTCAGCTTAGAAGAATGTCCTGCACTGATGCATAAACGCAAAAGGCACCTGGATGAACATCTGATAACCAAAGCCGAAGTGAAATCCGTAGATTTAGGTTCCATACTAAAGTTTCACTCGGATACTGGATTAATAGACACACTATAATCCATGAAAGGGGCACAATAGATCTTAAGGTCGCAGTGCTCTATCCCCAATAATAATAATAATAATACATGCTCTTTAACGAGCCATTGTAGGCCAAGAGGTCACTTGTATAATCGGGGAACCTTGTCAAGCGACCTCTATTGCTTCTTTTACTCTACCAAGGGGACATCATTACACCTTCTTCTAAAGTGTGAGGTGCTTTACGTAGAAGGGAGTGGAACATAGGGTGTCTATGGTAAAAAGATGAGCACATACACTCCCTACTCCCGATATCGATTGTGAAATTTATAGAGTTCCTACGGCTAGCTAAGGTGGTGATGAGCTGAGGACACAATAGGGAGTCTCTAGTTAAGTCTATTAAAATCAAAAATCTTATAAAACTCATGGGCCACGATCAGATATCGAATACATCTGATATTTATTTGTCCAGCACAAACGACACCGAGCCTCAATGTGTCCCTTTTATAATTACTTAGACTAGGCTAAGCTAAGATTAATATTCTGTCGATCCCAGTATATCTTATTTTTAGGAAAGATTTTATTTTTTATACTTATAAATATTGATTTTCGCAGGACCCCTATAAAAAAAATAGTTTACCAACTATGACATTGATTTTCAAGTTCCTAAAACTTTTCTGCGCATTCGATCGATGTTTTGCTAAAAGTTTGAAAACATTTTAATTGAAAATAACAAGAAAAAAAATAGTGATGTGATTCAAAATAGCTGCAGTCAACAGCGAAAGCAATCAACGTAACAATGCAAAATTTGCAAAATCTGCCAAAGTTTAAGCTGTGAAAACCGCCAGCGAAAAACGCCAACAGAAATTAACTATTTAAAGTTCCCAACACGAGTAGCGTATCAGCTTTCAATTTGATGTAAAATACGTCGTGATTTGTCTGCTAAGCGTCGAAAAGTTCTTGTGCTACTGCTGCTGGCGACGCTAAAGCTAATTGCGATGGCTATGATGCCTGCAACACGAGCAAAATCGGGGAAGTGAAAGCGAGTGGCATAAAGTGAAGTGATTTTTTTTTTAGTGCGCGAAAGCTGAGGCTTTTTAGTAGCACCAAAAAATTAAGCAGCAGCCAATAGCCGAATTCTGCAAAAGTTTGATTGGCTAAATTTGTCGTCAAAATTAAGGGAAATCAATATAAAAATTAGGTGCTGAGAAAATTTAATTATGGTAAAAATGCAAATAAAATTTGTAAAAAGTTAAAAAAAAACAGTGCTGATATAAAGATTTAATTTAAATATCAAAATGCATTAAAAATTTAAATCACAATTAAAGAGGATTAACGAAATTTGTAAAGCAACAAAGCAAAAGTAAAAATACCAGGGTAAGCGCAAAGAGGGCTTCACCTTACACCTTCGACCACAACAGCTCAAAGCTCGCACACTTACTCCCGCTCGCTGTACGACCAACCAAGCGCTTGCCAAACTGGATTACAACACAGATAATAACGGACCATGGGAGAAAAATCCTGCTGTCGCCGTGAGCGCTGCTGGCAGCGCCGGCGGCAGTATTGGAGGCATTGTCGGCGGCTCAATTGGCCCTGGATCGGGCACAATGACAGCAGTGACAAGTGGCGCCAATGCGATTGGTATTACAACAACCACCGCAGCAACAGCCACACCAATAGCCAACACTGTCGGTGCTGGCATTAAGCCACTGCAACAGCAGTTACAACAACAATTGCTGCAACAGCTGCAACAAAGGCATATGCAACAACAACAACATCAACAACATTTACAGAGCGCAGTCAGCGCTGGCGCTGGCAGTGTCGTCTCAGTTGGTGGCACCAATAATTCTGCCGCTGGCGGCCATTCGCATTTGCATGCCACCCACTCACATCCGCATCAACATACACACGCCCATACACACGGGCATGCACATCAGCATGTACACCATCAAGCAGCTACTGTTGCACTTTTGCAGCAACAGCAAAAACAATTGCAGCATCAACACTCGCATCCGCCATTGGCGCCACATTCACATCCACCGCTACAGCATCATGTTTCACTTGGCGGTGCTGGTAGTCATCGCTATCAGACGATGATGGCCGCTGTAGCACAACAACAACAACAACAACAGCAGCAGCAGCTGCAGCACCAGCAGCACCAGCAACAACAACAAGCAATGCAACAACAGCAGCAGCAGCAACAGCAAGCAATGCAGCACCAGCAGCAGCAGCAGCACCATCATCATCTCCAACACTCTACACCGCAACATCATCGCTCTGCATCGCAACACTCTGCCGCCACTTTAAGGCGTCGCACACTTTCTCATGTTTCACGTTCTTATTCAGCATCAGCAGCCGCAGCGGTCGCCGCAGCAGCAGCTGCTTCCTCCAATGCAAATGCAAAGAACGCTAGTGGCGTGGGCGGTAGTGGTGGTGGTGGTGGCAGCAGCAGCATACATGTCAGCACCAGCGTGGAGCGGTCGCGTTGTCGATCACCGATGATGTTATGCCACAGTCACAGCGATGGCGAGTTTCCCATGTATAAAGGTAAGCGGCTCTAAAGCTTAGCATACACAGAGCGTTCATAGCCGAGCTGAGGTCAAAACACTTAGATGGTTCACAAGGTGTCGTAAGTGTCCTACTGTCGTATTCGTAAAGTTTTTAACGGCTAAATAAATAAATGTTTACAGGACTTCAAACCACAACCAACTTTTTTGTTTTAAATTTCAGTTTACAACACCTTGTGAACTCTCTAACTGTTTGCTCGCTCTCCTGGCGCTTATTAGCTCAGCTCTTAGGTCAGCTATAAGCTCTCTGTGCGCTTTCATTTTCTCCTAGGTTTCGACTGTGACAGGTCTCACTGTATATTCTATTTAGCTAGTTACGCATATAACAATTATCCTTTAATCACGCCAGTAGATTCTTTTGCTTCGTCGCCATCTACCAACACGGGCATGATGAGTGACTTAAAGAGTGTGGTTTTCGTACGTCTAGAGAGGATTTTACTACTTAATTGCCTGCTCAGTGCAAAGAAGCACTTGTTGGCAAGAGTGATTCTGCGTTGAAAATATTGTCCAAGCTTTAATCAATCCTATTGTAAATCAAAGTTTCAGACTGTATACAAAATTTAGGAAAACTCAAAAAAACTTTCATTAAAATTTCAAACCTTTTATTCGGAATCTTTAGAATAGATTGTTCCTAACGTTCTTTCGCATTTTATTAAATGAAAATTAATGCTTTTATGGAAAAAGCGGAAAAATCCAACAGCAAAAAAAAATTTAAGTTTGAATCTGTTATTTACATACATGTATGATTTTGGTTGAAGAATGGAAAACATTTTTATAAAAAAAAAGTAAGGGCGCCTGGGCCACACTGGAGAAGTAAAACTTGTTAATTGTAATTACATTTATGTTACTCTGTTTCCTTTATCTGTATACTCTATCGATACCAAAATCGATAGTAACATCCATCAAAACATCGATAACAAAATCGCTACAAATATCGATAACAAATACGGTAAAAATATCGATAGCAAAATCGATAACACTATCGACAGAGAAATCGATAACAATATCAATAAAAATGTCGATACGAAAATCGGTAAAAGAAGCGATAACTAAATCGATAAAAATATCGATAACAAAATCGACAAAAACA